TATCATGTAATTCTTGACTGGGAGTAATTTTTTTTTCAGTGTATTGATAATATCATTCAGTGTTTTCTACTTTTCATCGTTACCTTTGAGAATTTGGTCATCATGCTAATTTCTGCTCCTGTGAAGTCACTCTCTTCTTTCCTTTCTTTTTATTTTTCCTTTAAAACATTAATAATTTTTTTGTTTGTATTTTTTCTGGAATTTTGCTACATGATGTCTAGGTGTTAATTTTCATTTATACTGCATGATATTTGTAGGCCTAGTGATTCTGTGGATCGATGTCTTTTTAATACATCAGTCTGGGTAACAATTAATTTTATTATATTTGTTTATGCTGCTATAACAAAATACCTTAGTCTGGATAATTTATAAATAATAGCAATTTATTACTTACAGTTCTGGAGGGTGGAAAGTCCAAGATGTAGGTGCCAGCAGATTCAGTGAGCAGAATCATTTACACTCTGCTGATGGCAATGTCTCCTGGCTTCTTCACATGGCAGAAGGGATGGAAGCTCTGTCCTCACAAGGTACAAGGGACAGAAGAAGAAAAAGGACTAACGCTGTGTTTCCTGTCTTTTTATAAGGTACTATTCCCATTCGTGAGGGCAGAACTCTCTTGTCTTAATTGCAAAGACCCTACCTCTTAATACTATCATATATGCTGCAACTTGAATTTTGTAGGGACAAATTCAGATCATAGCATTCATGGAATATTGCTTCTGATCCATTTGCTTTATTTTTTTTCTCATAACACTTCTGTTAATATTTCTCATTATGTCTCTTTATTTCTCGTACTGTTTTCTATATTTTGTCCTTTGGACCATAAGTAGTCCCCGAGTTATAAACATCTGACTGATGTACAATTCATATCTAAAAAGAGAGGCTATTAAGTGGGTAACGCACCTGTTCCAACATACATACAAAGTCAACTTAAGAACAAATCCACAGAACCTATCTCGTTCATAACCCAGGGATTGCCTGTAAATCTTTACTCTGGAGAGCTTTTTCTAAAATACCTCTCAGGTTATTACTTCTTTTAACTAAAACTCTTCCATCAAATATAATTTCTCACAAGAACATCCATTAAATTGTTCAATCAAATTATTTTACTCTCTACTGTAGAATCTTATTTCCTTACTTTTTCTATTAGTTACATAGCACTTTACGATTTCTAATTCATTAGAAATTTTCGAATTTCTATTATTTTTTGTTTCCCATATTGGAACTACGTGGGCTTCTGTTTCTCCTATGTGTTGCTTATGTTTCCAGTTTAATTATCAGTCTGCACATATTTTATTTTTGCTAGACAAAATGAAATAGTATTTAAAGAAATAATGTGAAATCTTGGATGATGTTGTCTTCTTTCAGAAAAAAAAAAAGAAAATTGTTACAATTTTGGGTGACAAACAAGATAGATTCTGTAAGTTTGTCCTTAAGTTGAATTTGTATGTAACTTGGAACAGATACATTTACCTATTCCCTGTAGGTAATAAATATAAGTTATACATATGTTTTGTATGTAAGTTGTAGGTAATTTTTATGTAAGTTGGAACAGGTGCATTTGCCTATCACTTCTATTCATAAGTACAAGTTATTCATATGTGAGATGTCTGCAACTTGGGGACTGCCTGTGTTTGCTTCTGTTGGTTACCAGTGTACTATCAATCCTGGATCTTATGAACAAATATTTATAAAGCAGTATATTTCAAGTATTATTCTGAGATATAGCAATAACCCAAGGAGACACAATATTTCCCATCATAAAATTTATATTCTATTTAAATTTACCCAAATTTAAATATAAGGAAAACTGTTCTACTTTTGTGACTTATGTCAATTCCATACTCTTTTGGCATTAAAATCTTCGTATCTCCTTATATAACTACTTCCATCTATTAAAAAAATTCTAATAAGACTATCAATAATGGGTCCTTTGTATCATCCTTCTATAAAGAAAGTGTTTTGAGGACACATAAGGAGCAATTTAGAATAAATGAAAATGTTACTTGCTTCAAAAATAGTTCAATTTTCTGAGAGAAATATAGTCAAGTAACATTATATAATGTATCTATTTATAGAGACTATTGTTCTTTTTTTGAAATGTGAATTTGATTGTTATACTTTTACAACCTTGTATGAAGAAAAATCTTCAATGACTGAAGTAGATCTAATAATTCTACTTAATCTATCTTTTTGTTATGTTTGCGAAAAAATGGTAATTTTTCAGTTTGCTTCTCCATAGACAAAATAAGTTTATAATAAAAGTAATTAACATTCAAATTATCTGCTACTGAAAATAATTGAAAAATGCCTATCATAATTACAAGTTATTTGAATAAAACTGTGGTTTATTATCTGAGGCATAATTGTCTAGAAATATTATTGTTTTATTCTGAAAATGTTGAAGCTTCATCGTTGAAGCTACGCTGTTTGTGTCTCTATTCAAGTCAATCAGCAAAGTTATGTTTTTGAGCAGATAGCCCAATAAACATGATTTATGTTTAAGTTTTCCTTAACTGTTTGCAATCGTTTTATAGTAACAATCTTCTTTGATATTTCACTCTCAAATAGGCAGTGTTGATGTTATTATATGCCATTTTATGGATGAAGATGCTGAGGCTGAGAGAAGTTACTTCCCAAAGCTTTTGTGGTACAAGAGGGTTTAAGTTAGAATAAACAGAACTTCTGACTACTAGACTTACTTACTTCTCACATTTTACTAAATATATTCTGCAGACCACCATTATGAGGCATGTAATATCAGTTATATTTTTTTGAAAAACTGTATGGCAAATAAATTTGCAAATACCAATTATTGCAGATCCACAATGTATGTTAGCACATTAAAAACTCTGACAAGTCCATGAGTATTTTTAAACTTTAATACATCTGTTCCAACATTTGTTTTTGTGTGGAACCTTTTCTAAGGAACACCTATGTCATGTAAAACTCTTCTGTGAAATGTATTGCTCAAGGAGCAATATTGGAAGAAGCCCAAGTGCCCATCGATCCACGAATGGATCAACAAACTGTGGTATATGTACACCATGGAATACTATGCAGCCATAAAGAAAGATG